GGCTGGACAGCCTCGGCGAATATTGGGGCTATATAGTGGACAATGGAAAAGAAAATGGAAACTACCATATTATGATAGGGTTTATCATATTGGGGTTATCTATTGATGATGGACAATAAAACGGGAACATAGCTTGTGGCTTGTTGTAATTGGTACTGTAAGGGGGAATGACCCAACATGTGGGGGTGTCCATAGATGAGGGGGCGGTTCCTACTGTAAGGACAATCGTAGATTGGGATCCATGGGGGCCCTCCGGATCCCGTGACCAGCCCCGCTGCGGTGTAAGTCTAACCCCCAAGCATTGCACGTCTCCATCAGCCCAACTATGAAGTACATGCCCTCAACCCTAAACCCTAAGCCCTAAACCCTAAACCCTAAACCCTAAGCCCTAAACCCTAAACCCTAAACCTTAAACAGGGGTTACACAACTCCCCGTGAACTTCCAGTGGGTGCCAGGCGGTGGAGGAAGTCCCCGGGGGCATGCGCCTCAAGGAGGTGCCTTAATCCTAAACCCTTAAGTAGATAGGGGTTATATTGGGAAAACGGAAAGGAAAACGGAAACTACTATTTAGGGTTTAGGGTTTAGGGTTTAGAGTTCAGGATTTAGGGCTTCGAGTCGTAGGGTTCAGCATTAAAGGCTTAGAGTCAGGCTGAAAGTTTAGTGTCTACGGTACGGCTGGGGGGCTAGGCGCTTAGAGTTTACAGGGTCTAGGACTTTTAGGGCTTCCGGCTTCGAGTTGAGAGTTCAGGGTCAGGGTTAGAGTTTGGGATTTAGGAGGGAGATTTAAAGTCGTCTGTAAGGGCTTACCTGGACCCCCCATGGCCTTTTGGGCTATATTTAGGGGTTTGGGCCATCATTTTACATACCTTGGAGGTTTAGGTAAAGCTTAGGACTTAGGGAATATATACCCTACTCCAGTATAGTAGTTTCCATTTTTCCATTATCCCTATACAACCACAATAAATACCCTATAATCCCTATATAACCCCTATATAATCCCTATATAACCCCTACTTAAGGGGGACTATAGACACTAAGGAAGCTTAAAACTGGGGGGAGGGCTCAGGGTTTGGGGCTTTTTATCCAGTGCTTTGGCTTCAGGGATTTGGGTTCCAGGGTTTAGGGGTTTAGGGTTTAGGGGATTTGGGGTTTAGGGGTTTAGGGTTTAGGGATTTGGGTTTTAGGGTTTAGTGTTTAGGGTTTAGGGTTTAGTGGAGACCTGGTCACCTTCCACATGCAGTAGTACCCTAAGGGTCTAAGGACCCAACTACTAGGGTTTTAGGGCCCAAATACAATTAATAGTATAGTATTTGGGCCCTAAACCCTATTATTTGGGTCTTTGGACCCTTAGGGGTAGACCTCTAGGGCCTCGTGGTATTTGTAGAGTTGGATCCCTAGGGTATTGCACTGAAACATGCATGTCGCCAGCATTTGTTCACAGCATGCGTCAGGTTTCCAGTAGTCTCAGAGGATGCTGTGGGGGGCTGCATAGTGGTTTCCATTTTCTCTTCCATTATCCCAATATAACCCCAATATATACCCTATATCCCCTATATAAACCCTATATAATCCCTATAGTTTCCATTTTCTTTTCCATTATCCCCGTGGTACTGGACTTCAGCTCTTGGTACGTCACTGATCATATCGGAGTTTCCAAAGGAGTCCCCGTCATATACCCAATGCATTATCAGTAACTTGTATGTATCTGACCTAGAGCATCCGCACGTAAACCGCGAGAACAACAGGACAGCAGCCCGGCCAGCAGTTCTTCCTTTGTAGCCATGATGTTCAAGGGCTGCTGTTGGGATCGCGCATACTGACGGCAGACCCACCCCACCCAATGGCTCCAAAGAGTGGAAGTGGCAAACGTGGGGTGGGGGAGTGAAGGGGAGACGGAAGGGGTGGAGCCGCAGGAGTTACCCCAAGCCCTTTCGAACAAAAAATGCGTTTTTCACATGATCTTATTTTTCTTGTGAGTTGCCGCCGAGACAAGTTTGCAATTGCGCACGAAGCAGCTTCAGTTGCGACTGCTTCGTGGCGCATTCAACCTGTTTGTGATTGAGGGTTCGAGACCCGGTTGGGTCTAAGTACTGACTTCGCGAGGCACTATCATGGTTTGGCTCGATGGGCTCCCCAGGCTACACTGAGATCCCAGAAGGTAACAAAGAACACAGAACTGAGACCGGTAGCCCTAAATGGCCAACAGTTTACTTCTGGGTATGACGCCCGCAAAAAAGTGTAGGTAGTTGGGCTTGCAGGGAGGTATTATATCTGCCAAGTAACGATGCTCAAAAGCCAGAGTGCTAACCCTATGTGTCCAAGGGGCTTAGAGTTAATGATATGCAAACCCAGAACCTGGACTACGATTCTGGGTACTGCATGTTTCATTTTTTTTTCTGGGGTGTCCTTGCTAAATCTGAACATTAGGAACAAGGCCACCCTTGTTGTTAAGGGGATACTAGGAACCTAGAATTACAAGCGCCCAAATCATTATTGGGTACATGGACCTTTAGGGCAACGGGTCAGATGGCTGGATTTCGAGTTCAACCACGAAGAATGGTTGTCCACCTAGACCTAAACTCTCCACCTCCCCTTTATAAGGGCCCTAGTACCCATTTTTAGGGGCCATAGTTCCAATTAAGGGTACTCGGAGGGTCTTGGCATGTGAGATGTCGAAATATTTCATGACGTAGTGCGTGCATGGCCCGGCAAGACCAGTTGTATTGCAAGTGCACGCAAGAGGGTCGACATGTGTGGCGTTTTTTGGATAGTGGCAGGTTCGAAGGGGCTTGCGCATCTTGAGTATCAGCGCAAGAGCTGGAGCGGTTGAAATTCTCTTAAATCCTAACTACCCCCACACTCGAACCCCAAACCCCAAGCCGGGATTGCGGTGGCAGAGCAGCTTTCTTCACCACAGGCCTTTGGAGAGTCCAGAGCTTAAAAACGGAGTGTTTTTTGGGCGGACGAGCCGCGCAAATTAATCCAACTACCCACTCGTGAGGGCGTAGTTGCTACTGAACCGTAGGTGGTTGAGGCTACCGGCTGGCGATCATGCTAGCGGTAATTAAGGCCTGTTTTCTCGGAGCAGGTCAAACTCGCTGCTAAGCCGCTCCAAAGCAAAACTCATCTACCCCATATGGTAGTTTCCCGAAATTAGGGGGACCCCAATATAGACCTTTGTAGTAGCCCGTAGCCCTGAAGCCCACACCCTAAAACCCTGAAGCCTAGCAGTGAAAGGCACTGCCATCTCCAATCCCTCTCAAGCTGATCCCCAATTGGGATCTTTTCCTTGGTTTTGAGGACCAGGGGGTTTAGGGATTTGGGTTTTAGGGTTTTCGCATTGCTGCTTGCTGTAGGACTTCAGGCTTAGGACTCAGGACTTCAAGATAAGCATGAACCTCATCCCACGCGTTTACTCAAAGAGCTGTCATGCCAAGTTTTCTTGAGGGCTTTCGCTTATAGTTGATGCTTTCTCCCAGCATCACAGCTGAAGAGAAGAGCGGAAACTACTGCAGAACGTACAATGGAGTGCCTTGCAGAATTAACTTAACAGGCGGCGCTTCATGAATCTGTTTCAGGGCTGGAAGCTTCTTCTGTCTACGGTTTAGTGTTTGTTGTTGTTTCAGAGGTGGACATCGCAGGCGTCCTGAGATCTCCAAGTAATTTTACTTTTTGCTTCTTTGTAGCTAGCGAATAAGGGAGTATATTATACATGGATTATATAGGGTTTATGTAGGGAAAATAATCCCTTACTAAGAACCAGTAAGTACAGGTGTCTACGGGAGGGTCGGGCAGGCTGGGCCGCGGGGGCGAAGGTGTTTCAAGGGCGCTGTTGGCTGGCAGGGGGAAGGCTGCTTGTAATCCCGATTACCTAAATTAGTGTGAGTTTCACCTTAGGTGGACCCCCCCACCCTGCAAGGATAATAGGGCTTATGCTAGAGTCCCCTACTATCTTCTTATATTATACTACTATTGCAGGGTGGGGGGTCCTCCTAACATATTAGGGAGTAATTGCAAATAAGCTGTAGGTAACTGGGGTCGCAGGTTTGCCCCGCAGTCCGGGATTGTTAAGGCTTTGCATGTGAGTTTCACAAGACACCACTTCCAAAATCCATGGGTTTGGCTTTTGTTTCCCGTCATTGCCCTACAGCGCAGGATCGCCAAGGGCATCCCTCGCTACGCACACGCCCTTAAAACCACGCTCCTGAATCCCCACAGCCTACATCTCAGAGCCTTTGACCATGGAACCACAAACCTTGGACCCCAAACCTCAGACCCCAAACCCTGAAGCACAGAGCCTAAACCCTGACGCCAAAAACTTACATTGAAAAAGCCGAGGTCCTCCTATATACTATAGTAGTTTCCACTTTTCCATTATCCCTATATAACCCCTATATCATGGTAACTTAACCAATCCTAAACACCCTAAACCCTAAACCTCTCCAACGCGAAACCCCTGCAGTGGTAGCATGGTGGCAGGACCGGAGCAAGGTTATCAGGGGCAAGCTCACCCTATCCATTTTCTATTATCCAGAGGCCGAGTCGAGATTCTAGAGGGTTTAGGTTTTAGGGTTAAGGGTTTAGGGTTTGGGGTTTAAGGTTTGGGCCCGAAGGTTCGGGGGGAAGAGTGTTGATGGTGAGGGTTTTGGTGCCGAGGTTAGGGTCGAGTAGCGGCTGGTTCAGGGTTTAGGTGTGACATTTAGTTTTTCGACGTTGGTGCAGGTGCCTGAGGTCTAGACTGAGGCTTATACGTCGGACAGACATTGGAGTTTCCAGGGTTTTGATGTGGGGGCTTTTCGGCTTTTAGAGCTTAATGTCGAGCTTTTGATCACAGCTGGACGATCCTAGTCTAACTCCTGAACCCAACGGGGAGCTTCATGGGTTATTCTACCCGGCTTGTAGGTACGCTGACTTGGTCTATGGCAAGCTATCACCATAGCTATCCTGAAGATATCCCAGTCACCCCACTGCCAATCAAGAACCCAAAGCCCCTAACCCCTGGAGCCTGAACCCTACCCCCAGTTCTTCCGAGTCCAGAACTTTCCTGGGTTTGCCAGAATTAGAGGTACCTTTTTAGGGGTCCCCATCATAAGGAAGAAGGATCATGATATATTGGGGTGTAGATTGGGGTCCTCTATTTTGGGGTAACTACCACCCTAAACCCTAAACTCTAAAACCCTAAACCCTAACCCTGAACCCCTATCCCTACTTAGGGGAAACTATCTCCCTTCTTGCAGAGTCCCTGCAAGGCAGGTCCGAAATCAAGAGTCCAGATGGGGCCTAGGTTTCACACAGACAAAAGGGGGTTTCCCAACCTATCGGGTTACCCTTTATGGGGTACCTGTAATAGGAATTGTAGTATTTTGGGGGGTCTATATTCCTCCCATTAGCGAAACTAGCAGCATTGTAGACTCTCATCTGTAGGGTTCTGCGTATCATACTTGCTTCCTCGCTCACGGAACCATCGTGGGAGACTGCGAGCCGACTTCATGAGGTTTCCCCCTCAAATTGAAACGCCAGTACTTCCATCAATCCACCAGTCAAAAAAAAGGAACATAAATAGGAGAGATACCCTTTTTGCGATCCCGAGTTTTGCTTGGGGAGACTTGGGGAGTTCTGTTGCAGTGATGGGCCTTTTCAAGCTAAGCTTCTCAGAGTGTTTATGCAATAATGGTTTTGTACAGTAGCAGTCAGGAAGTTGGAATATCAGTAGCCCTCAGGCAAGGCGAAATAGTGCATGAAGCGTCCTGTTTGCATGGGGTTTTAGCTTGTACTGTGCAAGGATTACAAGAGGACAAGCATTTTGAATTCCTCACCCAAATGGTCTAAAATACAGAATGACCATATACTTCCAGGAAGCCTATACTGCAATTCCTCCACCCAACTGTTGGGTACTTGGAGCCATTGGGTGAGGCTCCTACTTGGTAATGGTTTAGGGTTTAGGGTTTAGGGCCCTAAACTCTAGACCGGATGCACGTCCGCTGTCCAGGCCAAAACATATGTCTCCGACCCACAGAAGATTGCGACTGAGATGGCCATTACTAACCCTAAGCTCTAAGCCCTAGGCCTGGCAAGTATCCTATGCGCCAGCGCTCTAGTAGGAAGGCTTATTTGCCAGCTCTAAGGCTCGCTTGTACCAAAGAGTTATATACTTCCCCGAAACATGTACTACAATTACCAGCGCCACGTCCCAGGTACCCAATTATTGATTACATGGACCCTTTACGGTGAGAACTGCCTTCATGACACTGTATGTAACATCATTTTGGCCTTCTACAAGCCAACGAGGACTTCAGAAGTGTTTTCGTGCAAGATTGTTCAAAGTCCAGGGCGACAAAGAGGCCCTACCTGTAATCCCAACTACCTACAGCTTAGTAGTCATAATAACCTAATTAGTGGGTATGACCCTAAACCCTACACCCTACACCCTAAACCTTAACTGCTTTGTAATTGGGGTTGCAGGTAAACCCTTAAACCCTAAACCCTAAACCTAGAGTTGATTGGGTGGCAGGTTCCAGCAGGGCTTAAGGCTTCAGAGTCTGGTTCATAAGTTGCCATAGCGCTACAGAAAATAGGAACTGAACATTTGGGTGGCACCAATGGCACCAACACCTGAAACTTGAGTTACCAACAGTTTTCATTGGTCATACCTTCTAAGTCAATGGAGTTCTTTTGACCCTAGGCTGTCCAGAGTTGAGGTTATGGGTAAGAATAAGCTCTATACATCCCCATAAATCCCGCATCCGCTTGGTTCCGGTACATATCCCTGTATCTCTATGGAGTAATGCTCGGGCCTCATGCTTTGAAGAGGTTTTAAGGTGTAGGGTTTGGTTCTTTGGAGCAAAACCCCCTAAGCCCTAAGTCCTAAGCCCCAACCACTGACTTGTCAGCAAGGGCGCCTGGTACCAGAAAGGACAGCCTACCCCGGCACTTTTGTCCATTAATTTCGGGTTTAGGGTCCTACAGTCTACAAAGAACCTAGACCTTCCAACTACCTTCTATGGGTCCCACATGCCCACGAAGACCTTAGTTACGTGTAGTTGGGGGTTCCTGCAATACTTACTTGGGGCAATTTGGACGGCTAGGGCAAGGAAGGCACTTGATCAGGACTTTTGGGTACCAGGTTTTAGGGCTTTGTGTAAGGGATTTAGGATGAAGGGTTTAGGGTTAATGTAGGCCCCTGATTAATAACCCCCCTTCGTTTAAGGGCCTTAATCTTAGGATCCCTAGTATAATCCCTGTTAAGGGCAGGGGGGTTATTGTTCAGGGTCTACATTCTTTCATGTTATGATTGGGCTTAGTGTTGTACTGCTCAAAAGGGCGTGATTTCGCATGATTGCAGGACGCAGATGGTCTTTCGGGCACCCATGCCAAACCCCAAGTGCAATATAGTCCAAACTCCTTAAAGGGGGTTGTATAGGGATTATATAGGCCCCTTTACTTAGGGTTTAGGGTCTAAACTCCTTGAGGGGGGTTATATAGGGAATTAACTTGCTGAGTATGTTTGGGCTCATTAGGAGGTATACTAGGAGTTGATAGGCAATGGCTCAAGTATTAATCTCACCCTGAGGGTCCAAGTATGCGGCGGGTTTTTGGGATTTGGGTGATCGGACTTGTAGTATAGACCGTATAGACCCAAAACCGTAAATCGAATCCTAAACCCTAAAAGAGGAGGTCTGATTATTGGGTACTTGGATTCTTAGGGGCTCCAAGTAGCTCCAAGCACCGGTGGCATATACATCTTACACTCCCCTGCTCCAAGTTCGAGTTTCAGATTCAGGGTTCAGGCCTCCATGAGCCGGAATGTAGAAGCCCAAATAACTACCAATGTTACCGTGCCAGATTCCTTGTCTAGTATTCAGGGTTCTACAGCATGCCGCGCCTGATCCTTAAGCCCTGAACCCATCATTTGCCCTACCCCCATACACTGTGATATGAAAAGACTCAAGCTATACCCACGTTATTGCTTATAAACTCTCAATAGAAGTTCCATCGTGGAAAACAATAGCGCTTCATAGCATGTTAGCTTTTCAAAATTGCTCCCCAGGATCCCTGAGGCGATCCTATTCCCAGAGGGTCCATGTAATAGTAATTGTAGTACAGGTTTTGGGTAATTATATGATTATTAGGTACTTGGACCCTTAGGGATTATGAAAAGCCTCCCCTCATAGACTTACCTTTGGGAGAACAAACCCAAGCAGTTCTACCAGGTCAGCGTGGACAACTTCGGAGACGGCGATCGTATCCTTCAATCTACCGTGCCTCTGGAGCAAAACCTTACAGGTCCAAGGTCCACCTGTCACCCCAATTACCTGCAGTTTTATGGGTTATACCTACTAATTAGGCGGTAAGTCCTATTAAACTGTAGGTAATTGGAGTTACAGGCAAGTACCCAACAGCTGAGATAGGGATTTCGGAGCAGTAGCTGTAGAGAGCTTTGGGGGGAATATCTGATAACGAGGTGCAGTGACCTTTATGGGACGAGGAGTTGAGGGTTTAGGGTTTAGGGGTTTAGGGTGAGGGTAGGGGTTCGCAGTTGTTTTCACAAATCAGTCCGTGGTCCTTGCCGTACACTGAGAAGGTGGCTTAAGATTCCCCAAGCCGAGAACCGTGTGGCAATTTCAGAAAAGTACCCATTGGGGTAGTATTGGGGTTATGTTGGGATAATGGAAAATGAAATAGAAATTGCTATTTGGGGTTTAGGGTTTAGGGGTCCCAGAACTGATTGCCAGTGTTGCTCTGGTACCCCAGTAGTACCATTGTTCCTGTTATATATATATATATTGTATATATGTATATATATATATATATACAGTGTTGTTTGTTGGGGGGACGGGGTGAACATAAGCCAAAAGAGCACCCTTACTAATGGGGTACTGGGGAACCTTGTTACTCGAAGTATTACCATTGTACTATTGTTAGTGTGACTACTAGTATTACTCTACTTGTTAGAGTTTAGAGCTCAGGCTTTAGGCGCTTGTAGCTTTTAGCGACTAATGTTGGAATATCTTTGCAATGCATCTGTAATTTCAGGACTTGACTTGGAAGCAGTTTGATGACGTTAATCTGCACCTGCACTGCTTGCACAGGCAAGGACATGGAGTGAAGATGTTGATCACAAATCCTGAGCGCAAGGGTTGAACCCTCCATGTAGACTCTAATGCCCAAAAGCGCTGCCTCCTGTAAGCCTTCGACCCAAGAACTTTACCCACAAACCATCAAACGCTGGAGGCCAACAAGCCATTGCAGAGTTTCTCGGATTGTTGTATAAGACACTTGAGAGGAAAGGCTACGCACCGCGATATGAATGCATAGATGAGAATACTCAGATACATATGTATGTATGTGTATATTGGGTTCCCGAGAGGGCCACCCTTTTCAGAAAACCAGCTTAAACCTTCCAAATGGAGAAACCCAACCAGACAGTTCTACCCCCCCAATACGGGGATTTCCCGAGATTATCAGTACTTTTTTGGGGGTCCCCATATTAAGTATTATATTGTTTTGGGGTCTATAAATGGGATCCCCTTATCTTTGGGAAACTACTATACTTACTGGGGGTTAGTAAAGGAATATAATCCCTATACACATATATATGTATATAAATGAAGATGAAGATAGATATTCCCTTATTCCCGACTAACCCCCAGCAAGTATACCATCCTAAACTGGGGCCCTTCTGAACCTCTTATAAGGTGTATGCCTACTGTGCCGAAGGACACCCTCGTTTTGAGATGTTGAAACTCCCAACCCTTGATCCGCAATCCTGGGAGTTTCATCCCTGAACCCTTGGTATCCCTAGAGCTGTTGTAAAGGGTAACAAAGGATTGTCTCTATCCCGAGAATCTCCGTAAGCCCTAAGCCCTGAGCCCTCATAGACACTACAAGCCCTAAACTCTGTAAACCCTGAGCCCTAAATCCTAAACACCCTGGGCTCCATGTCTATAAGTAATACCTACATTGAGCCCCAATGTTTATAAATAGTACCTAAGTTGGGCCATTTGGAGCCCTAACCCTAAACCCTAAACCCTAAAGGGAGAAGCATTCAAGGTGACCTTAATCGAGCCTGGGACCGCGGACCGGGAAGCCATTGCCACGAGCTTTTCGGACTCAGCCAGATGAGCTATAGTCTACACAGGACTTAGGGGGTCTAGGGTTTAGGGTTTTAGGATTAAGGGTTTAGGGGTTAGGGTTAAGGGTTTAGGGTCTAAACTCCGTTAAGGGGGGTTATATAGAGGATTATATAGGGGACTACTATAGGGGTTATAAAGGGGGATACTAGGAGTTTAGACAGTAGCTCAGATGATGCACATGCTGTTTAGTGTGTTTAGTCTTCTATGGTCTAAGCTTTTGTTTTCTTCTTTTGGGGGGCTAGAGGTTTTTCGTTACATTCAGAGGTGTAATCGGGATTTTATATCTATATAAGTCTATATGCATATACACATGCGCAGAGATAGAGGGCTTACCGGTTACAATGTTGCCCGAATTGCGCAGGTATCCAAAACTTGGGCACTTGAAGGTTGCGTGTCGGTAATTTCAGTATGGGCTTCGGGGAAGTATATTATGATTATTCTGGACTCGTCTTCAGCTTTTCTGCTTCAGAGTGAGTGGGGTTGGGAGTCCCGGGTTTGGCATGAAATTGTTGGACAATTAGGATTCGGGTTTAGGGTTTGAGAGTGTAAAATCGCAGGTGCCGAAGTAACAAAGTATGGGATAAGCGAGACTGCCCACAGTAGGAAACGAGTGCTTACAAGTATCATCTCTACCACCCTTCTTTGGCTCACGTCAGTTTCCCCTAGGTACGCGAGAGATAGCAGAGCTTCTTTGCATGTCGCGACTGTGCTGTTGAATTACAAACGGTATATTGTCATAAGCCCTTTCAGTGACCCAAACCACCTGCAGTTTAGTAGTAGCATGTAGCAATGTGTTTCAAAAGACCCTAGCTAATAGACTTAATTAGCCCATAAGACAGCAGCTTATTGCGGATATAGACACTCCCTAACCCCTAGTGCCGCCAGCTCCCCCGCTTATTGGGGCGTTTATAGCATCCTCAGGGAAAATGGAAACTACTATAGTATATTGGGGTTATGTTGGGTCAATGGAAAAGAAAATGGACGCTACTATTATGGTTTAGGGTTAGCTTAGGGTGTTTCTAACATCCTTAGGAGTCCATGTACTCTAGTATTGGATACTTGAGATTGGGCTGCTAGTAATTCTAGTACAGGTAGTGAGGAGTATGTGATTTTTGGGTCCTTGGACCCTTAGGGCATGTGTGAAACAAAGCCAAACCCAAAGAATTTATTTCAAGAAGCACAATTCCATTCCTGATTACCAGGGAATGACTTACTGATGCTTAAGGGAGGGTGGGGGAGTGGATCCTTATGATGTTCCCAATATGTTCCCCAGATATACTTCCTAATGGTGCCCATATTCACTCTCCACTCCCCCTGGAATGATGGCAAAGAGACATGCGCGGTTTAGAGTCTAGCGGATGCGGTAGGAAGATAGATCATAAGTTCCCTTTAGAGATAACCCGAACATAGACCCATGAATATAAGTATCCTCATTTTACTCACTGCCATAAGGGTACCCCTAATTTTGGGAAACCCCACATGGTGTCTAGCGTTTCTGGTCAGTTGACTGATCGAGTCCTTCTCACTGGAGCTCTGATTTTAGCGCATATGTTTCCGTAAGGGAACAGACGGACCGTGTTGCTTCATGGGGAGCGTTTTCTCAGGTGCGCCGAACGCGTGTTCTATCCTTAACCATTCATTAGTAACCCGGTTTTTCAACTTACATTGTCTTACATCAGACTCTGGCAATCCAAGAGCCCAATAACTCCTAATCTAGGAATATAGCTGAAACCATATTAGGGTCCCCAGTACCATTTAGGCTGTATTCCTTAATTAAGGGGTATTGGGCTCTTTTGGTACCTAATTCGGGCTATTTGGATCCCTGGAAAAAGGTCCGGCAGCCCTGAAGAGTCAATCCATCTGTCACTGACAGTTGTTCTCTCCCTGTCCCTGATAATTTTATGTTCCTGTTATATTAAGGTTGTATTGGAGGTATGCTGGGGTGATATTAGGGTTATATCAGGGTTACATTAGGGCTCTATTGGGGTTATATTGGGGTTATACTGGAGTCATATTGGGGTTATATTGGGGTTGTTTGGGGGTTATATTGGCGTTATATTGGGGTTATATATGGGGGGTAGATGGGGGTTATATTATTGGGAATAATGCAAAATGGTAATCAGTATAATGGGTTATATAGTGTTTGTTTCTATCTGTCCACTAAAAGTTGGTACTTAGGCCTTAATAGAGGGTAGGTGGAGGGTCTAGGAACACAGTCCAGGTGCAACCCCCCTGTATTTCCAGGGTCTCTGAGGGTTTGCCAATGGTGAGAACCTCCCAGGTAACATCTACGTTGGCGACTTCTCGCAGTCGCAGTCCATGTTCGACCACAGCTGCTATCCCTTTGACACCAAGAAAGCGGCTGTGACGAATATGGCTTCGTACAGGGCTCTCACGGCAATGTAGTGGCATATCCTTTGTAATCCCGGAAGACAATATGTAGACCTTAGATCCTTTATATAAGCTTCACATACACACTACATCAAGCTAACAAAACCTTTATGTGCACCCAGCTGAAGTAGAATGCCTGGAGCTATGGCCGAGGTGCAGGGTCTGAAGGTATCATGGACTCGAGTTTTGAGCTTTAGGGTTTGTGGTTTTGGGTCTTTGAGTTTAGGTTTGTAATTTGAGATTCAAAGTAACAGTAGAAGGCCACTGGGCGAACGGATCGAACAAAGTTTGATTGAGCCAAAAGAAGGGCTCATAGATTCATGACAGCGGCAAGCGGTTTCCATAGGACGTCGGGAAGACAACCCCTAATATAACCCGTGATATAATCCCAACACAACCCTTAAACTCGATAATACAACCAGTAATATAAACCCAATATAACCCCTAGACCCTAATATAACCCGCACTACAACCCCAATATGACCTCTAAACCCCAAAAAACCCCTAATACAACCCCAAATGACCCCAAATATACCCCCAACATAACCTCTTATTCAGCTGCCAGAGCCGCAAAGCTCTCGACTTGAGAATTGCCGCTGGGGGTGGACGCATTTATCTTGCCATTACCCTGGGGCCGTAAGTTTAATGATACCCTCAAGGACCCAAATAATAGGGTTTTAGGGCCCAAATACTAGTAATCGTCTAGTATGTGGGTCCTAAAACCCTATTATTTGGGTCCTTCATACCCTAGATAGTTCCCTGATATCCCTATATATCCCCCTATAACCCCCTTTAAAGGGGGCCTATTATTTGGATCCTTGGACCCTTCGGGGTACCTACATTGGGCCTTAACGTCTGCATCACCTCCATTGGACGATTTGGATCCTGAGGATTAGCTTTCACCAGTAGAGCAGTCAACTGTACACCGAAACCCAGAGGGTCCATGTACCCAATACTTTGGTACTTGGGATTTGGGTAATACCTGGACCCCCAAAGTATGTAGAATAATGGCCTTTTGGGCCATATTTGGGAGGTTTTGGGCCATTATTTTACCTACCTTGGGGGTTTAGGTAGTAATTATAGTGCAGGTTTTAGGTAAGTATATAATTATTGGGTACTTGGACCCTTAGGGAAAGACTTTAAGGGGTGCATGGTCCGCACCAAGAAGATCGAACGCAGGAGACAGACGCGGCGCATCATGGGCTTCTCAATTCTTGGATCCTATTCCCAGAGGGTCCATGTACCCAATAATTGGGTACTTGGGATTTGGGTAATAGTAATTATAGTACAGGTTTGGGGTAGGTATATGATTATTAGGTACTTGGACCCTTAGGGTATTGACTGTTTATAGAGAAGCATAGAGCTCAGAGTCTAAGGCAAGGACGGCCGCGCGGCAACCCCTGCCGCAAACAAACATGCAACCTTACAGAAGCCCCCTTTCTCACAGGGTCCAAGTACTCGATAATTAGGTCATTGGGTTTTGGGTAGTATACTAATTACAGTACAGGTTTTGGGTAGGTATATGATAATTAGGTATTCGAACCCTTAACTGAAGAGTGGTCCAGAAAGGCCACCTTCTTGATGCCAAAATGGTCTTGGGGAGGGTGAAGTTCTGTAGAAGGTGACTTGGGAGTTTCTCAAAACGAAGCTTACGTACATACTGTTGAAGCAAATTTTGCACCACCTAAAGTCCGTAAAGTACTAGGAATTACAGTAGTTTAGGGACCATGGGTGGTGCAAGATTCCCTGCACCAACAGTGGTATCCCTTTGTCGTTCATGTGTAGTGACAGGACGTTGGGGAGCCGTACGTGCATTTTCAAGATAATCGCTATAACGAGCCATTTAATCGGGTGTAGTTCCTGTATATCCTATATATCCCTGTGGTCCATGGTACACCTGTTTTGAGAACCCCCCCTCCCCCAAATGTCTTTTGTGAGGTCAAATTTGAGATAAGCATCCAGCGGCCGGGCGACTACATCTTTACACTGGAAATGATGTGCCCTGGGCCGAAGATTGCTGAGACACTTGGATTCGATTTCAGAAAAGGCATGATGGCTTCCAGCTTCAGAACGGCCATGACGGCTTCGGGTCATGGGGTTGAGAATTTGGGAACGCTAGCTACTCACAGGATCATGACACGCTGAATTTGTCCTGCGGCACCTTTGTTGCGCGATCTTTGGGATGAGGTATGCCCTAAACCCTAAGACTTATAATCCCCTCTCCCTAATATGAAACCCCTTCACCCACCCCAATAGTCAATACTCCCACTATGATAACATTGTGAGTATTTAGGAATATCAGGGGAGGGCGGGGAGGTTTAATAGCAAGGGGAGGGGATTACCCAAATTCCAGAGGTTACCTAGAGCTTTCCCCTGGTCCCGGAAAAGGAAAGATAGAGGGTTAGGGTTCAGGGCTTAGGGCTTTAGAGTTTAGGGATAGCAACACACATGGATGGCTAGGTTAGCAAGACTGAGTCCCAGCTCTGGGGGGTCAATCGTACCCCTAGTATAATACGGCACCTAATGTTGAGGTTAGGTTCAAAATCGTAGTTTTACCACCTAATGGAGACCCATGATTAATAAACCCCCCTTTTAAGGACCTTAATATTAGGATCCCTATTATAATCCCTATTAAGGGGAGGGGGTTTATTAATCATGGGTCTACATTATCAATGCTGGCGCAAGCCTGTCTCTTGAGGAAGCCTGCCTCGCAAACTCTAGCCACCCACCCACTTCTAGGGGCCGTATGAGCTATAGTCTAAACTCCTTAGAGGGGGCTATATTGGGGACTATATAGGGGATATTAAGGGGGATACTAGGAGTTTAGACTATATAGCTCATATGAGTAGTATTTTTTTGGGGGGATACTATTATCCATTATAAAGTAAGAGTCTATCCTCCTTTTGGGGTATAATATGTTGTATAAGGAATATAATCTTACTGGGTATAACCACAAAAAAAAGCTACGCATATGAGCTACTGTCAGCATGCCAGAACGGAGACAGGTTATGCCGTTTCTGCAGGGAGACTCACTACCTAGTCTATCTCCAGCCTCGGTCATGCATGTCCTCAACTTGCTACTCCTGGAAATCTATCTAAAGGGTACAAGCCTTACTCATTCCTAGCCCCGGAGGGTCCGAGTACCTAATAATTAGGTACTTGGGTTATGGGTCAAAGTAACTGTAGTAAAGGTTTTGGGTAAGTACGTGATTACTCGCTTGAACTTCTTATGTTGCAATGCAAAATTGAGGTATATCAAGGACGACAAGAATAACACGCGCATCGTGAAGTGCATGTCGGAGTCAATGGGCTTCTCGTCCTGTACTCAAGGTACCTGTAGGTTGGGTTTAGGGTTTGGGGTTTTCGGTTTTGGGGTTTAGGGTTTGGGGCAAGGGGGCTGAGATTGCCCCAAGCCCCCCAAAAGGTTCTGACCCTGACCATCCTTTGACTCCAATAGAATCTAAGTTTTGGGGGGTGGAGTTACCAAAAGCCTTCTCAGTATACACTGCCCCGAACTAACATGGAAACCCATATAGCCCCCTTTTAGAAGGCCTGTAGTCTTTATAGGGCCCTTTTTGGGTTTCCATGTTAGTTTCCGGGAGTATACGTCCTAGAGAGGCCTGGAGGTCTCATTGGGAGCAGGGCTGGTTTGCCAAGGAAACTCCCCCTTGGGGTAACCCTAAACCCCAAACTCTAAACCTTAAACCCCAAAACCTAAATCCCCTAAACCCTAAACCCCAAACCTTAAAACTCTACACCCCAAACCCTACTACAAACCATAAATCCCAATTCTTAAAACTTGGGTAAGCCACATGCGCTAGGCCCCAAACCTGGGTTGCTGTCAAGGAACATAATCCAAGCTATATCATCCCCCTCTAATGGAGAATCAAATGGAAAACAAAATGGAAACGAAATGAAAACTGGGGGAATATACGGGGTTAAAGGAACTTGAATTAAGTTACTATATTGGGGAAACTATATTAACTACTCTATATATATATATTTGGTAAAATAAGTTAAGTTCCGTAACAGCAGCCCAGAAACCTGAAGTCTGGATCCACCTGGTTCATGCTTCCAACAGGGCCTGGGGTTTATGACTTCTGCCCGAAGACTGGTCCCAGACCGTAAAGTCCAAGACATTATGCGATTCTTCTTCTGCGGTCTTGAGGGGTCTAGACAGTCTAGGACCCTAATCCCGACCCTAACAAACCCCTTGGAGCCTGCAAGTTACCACCTGCCCTTCATCAGGTGTGGGCTCCATTTTTCGGACCGTTTATACTGAAATTGCAAAGACTCTCTACTGATAGTCCGAATTATTAGAAATGGACAGGGCCCCTACCCGAAAAAAATAAATGCGCCCAGAAGAGTGGCACATGTCGAATGAGAGAAACATTTCTATTATGATCTGCAAGTTCTTGCGTTTAGTTGCAGGGGATTACAGTAGCACGGTGTACTCGACAGGGGGTTGGCTTCTGGGTAGAAAGCTCTTGACATGAACAGTGGCTGTTGTAACCCAGGGATGTGTTGTGCACGTATGAATGGGGGTGGGAGTCTGGAAGAGCAATCAGTTCTCTTGGATGGTTTCGGTGAGTAAGAAAAGGGCTGGGTAACCTGGACCACTTGGTCGAACATGCATGCTTGTAAGCATGCCGCCGTAACCGAAGGAGTGTAGTGGTAGCACTGCAAATAGCAACAAACTTACCCTATATCATCACGTCCAGACGCGGACAAAGCAGCAAGACCAATTCCATTCACATAACGCAGAGGTTCCTTCGTCGGCTTCGACTGGGGAAGCTTTACGTGCGAGTACATCAATGGCCAGCAGATGCTGTGCTACATAGACGGAACGAGGCAGTTCAAGACTGCGCGCTGTTCTAAAAGGATGTGAGGCTGTGGTTCCCCCGGTTCCCCCTGCTTGGAATGGAGAGTTTGTTGAATAAAAGCGACGTTCTTCCATGTTGCAAGAAGGACCGCAAAGCCGCAAACCATCATCTTTGTTGCTGTCAAGGTACTTAAATTAAGCTACTATAATGGGTATACATACAAACATATATATATATATATATATATTGTGAGTAAGTTATATGGTTTCTCCAATATATTACAGCAACTCAGATTATAGACTTGTTTGAAGGTGAGGTTGGGAGGTAGTTTCACAGGAGTCACTTGTAACCCCAAATGCCTACAGTTTAATAGTAATTACCCCTTCGTTCGTAGCTGTAGGTAATTGGGGTCACAAGTAAATCTAAACCCTAGAAATGACAATTTTGGATAAGGCCTTACAACATGTCAAACAAATATCCACAGAAGTCCATGAGCCTGTACTCAAGATGACCTGTGGCATTATGGCTATATAGGTCACACCTAATAATTCAGGGGAAAAAAAACGCTGTAGGTACTTGGCGTTTGCAGGTAAGAATTCCCATTAGGGTCTGTGTTTGGGATCCTCAAGGCTGTAGCGGGCTTGCTTTTGAACTTGAACTCTAAACCTAGACCCTCCTCCTACCCTCTATTAGGGCCTAAGTACCCACTATTAGGGACCATATATCCCCAATTAAGGGTACAAGGAGGGTCCTGGAACCCTCAACCCTTTACTTATCTCTTCTCCACCTTCTTGGGGTCTTGCCTATGCTATAGCAATGCGCTTCTTGGGTAGTGTTGACCTAACCTCAGTGACTTGCAGAAGTTCAGACGCTGGAGCGACTTCTGTCGGAGGAGCTGCTCATGCTCTCGAACCGAGAGTTGCAGAAAACATGCCGAGCAGCGGAGTAAGCAAAGGCTGAAGCGGAGGCTGCAAAGAAGTCTGCTAAAGCCCAGAGGCAGACTAAGACATCCGAGGCTGTGCTGAGAAAGGCCATGTGTCAAGATACACGCGGCATCGGCTTGTCTTAAGCTAAGCTAGCTTTTCTTGTGAAGTCCTTCCTTCTGCAATGGACCCAGAAGCATGAATTCCATCCGGGATTTAGGGTTTAGGGTGGTATCACACTACCTAGACTCGCCACCTACTTTGAATTAGGGCCTAAATACCCACTATTTGGGGCCATCAATACGACCGTTAAGGGTACTAGTTAGGGTGACGAGCTACTGGTGGACATTGGATTCCTGGTTTTTGCTTGGAAAATGACAGCACACTCACCAAGATTCCAAAAAACATTTGCCCAGGCAACACGATGAATGCAGCACAGTGTTGCTTGTGTTCACCTAAATTAAGGTTTCTCGAAAGTAGGGATGCCTTGAAAGGGGCTAACAGGGAATATATAGGGGTTTATAAGGTTTAGGGTTTAGTTTTCCCGCCTGTTTTGGGGGCCCCTAGAATAAAGATTATTGTATTCGGGGTGTCTACTCGGGTACCCTTATTCACGGAAACTACCAAACCTGGGGCTTAGGTTTTAGGGTTTAGGGCTCGATCCTTCTGCTGTGTTCCGCAGCCCTAACCATGAGTTACGTGGATTTTTTGAGCTATGGCTATACCTACTACGGGGTAAATACTCAAAATGTGTAGGCAATTAGGGTTACAGGTACAACCCTAAACCCCGAACCCAGAACACCAACAGTTTTGGGGGTGTTACAGGGGTTACATGAAAGCTTCTGGCCTAGCGAATCAAGACCCCTACCATGGAATGCTGCAGGCAGTGGCTCAGTGTCTTCAAGGGACACTTGGCTTCTGATGTAAGGCCTACTACGAGGCCGAATATACAAATAAGATCATGGTAGTAGATTTCTGGTGGAGGATGCCTCAAACAGACTTCAACATGATATCGGTAACTGTTTTTGCCACCGAACCTCGCAGTATTCAGGGTCTAGTGACTGAGTGTGTGCAGTTTTTCAACCTTCAAACCACCATCCGAAGCCCTATTTGTTCATGCCCTCGGTATCTCCCCACAAGTGCCAATGCCTGGTCAGATCCGGCAAGAAGAGATCCGTCCTTATCAAAATCTGAGTACTTCAGCCCAAACAAGACTTCAGAAGTCAAAAACAGGCACCTGCAGAGACAGTTGTCCTTTTGAGAAGGCATATCTGGATTTCCCGTTAGTTTTGGGGTGCTATCTCAGGCAAGTCCCTGTATATGAGGGAGATTCAAGCGAAGACAATTCGCACTTCGGTGTCGGCTCGATGTCGGAGAGTTCCAACGCTACATCAAGCGCACAGTTTCGAGCTTAGGGTGCGAGATTATAGGTTTTATTGTTCAGGGTTCAAAGTTCAGGGCATTTTTTATTATTGTCAGAAATGGTAGTTTCCCAAAATAAGGGGACCCCAATATAGACCCCAATATACTATAATCCTGATTATGGGGACCCCCAAAATGCTACCCCTAATTTTGGGACACCCCAAATCTCACAGACCCAAATGGATCCAACAAAAGATCTCGTGGGATAATGCAATTCTGGACCTTCGGAGCCCTAAACCTACCTACAACCCCCAATTACCTACAGTTCTATACGTTACACCTACTTTTTAAGGGGTAATTACTATTAAGCTGTAGGTAATTGGGGTTGTAGGTAGACCCTGAATACTAAAACCCTTGGGATACTGGAAAAAAAATGGAAACTACAACGGAATATAGGGGTTATATAGGGATTATCTCCTGAATACTAAGCCCTAAACCCAATCCAAACTCAGGACACATCTGGCCCTCCTTTACCTTTAGCGCTATGGGCTTTCTGTCCTTTGCGCTCAGCTTTTTGCCTGCAGAGTTTAGGGCCTGATTCTGGGGTGGGAGGTTGGGATTTCAGAAGGGGTTCGTGTTGGTGGTATTTCCCCGAAACGCTAACCCCTAAACCCTAAACAACCCCCAAACCCTAAACCCTGAATGACCCCTAAGCCCTAAACCCTAAATAAACCCTTTCTGGGGAGATCTGCCAGCAACTCCTTTAACGGCAAGGCAGTCTCACACCAAGAAACGGGTGCTCGTTGTCTGGGCCGGGGGTGTGCAGCCGGTTTTCAGGCTAAACCTTGTCTGTGTAAGGGGTTTAGGGTTTGTCCTAGGTTTGCCATTGAGGGAATATTAGGGTTATATTGAGGTTATATTATGGGGATAGTGGAAAAGAAACTGGAAAGTACCATAATGGGTTATATGGGGTTCTAGGGTTTGAGGTTAGGGTTCAGGCTTTAGGGTTTAGGATGTAGGGTTTAGGGTTTAGTATTCAGGTATAAACCCGCAAATAATCCCGATATAATCCGTATAATCCCTGTAGTTTCCATTTTCTGTGCCATTATCCATATACAACACTACTTCACCTGCCACTCCTAGATCTCATTGAGTCTTTTTGCAGCTGGTCGCATAGTCCCATTATGGCTTTGAGTATATTATAATAAGATCTCCATATACTCCATATTCTATCTGCTTAAGGAGGATTTTAAATGGCCGCCAAAATCCAGAATCCAAAGCGTCAAACGCATGGGCCCGAAACCCAACCACCCCCTACCCAAAAACATTTTCTTCTACCTGTATCCCCCCACTACCTACAGCTTTAGGGTTGAGGGTACAGAGTTTGGCGTCATTTATGGGTAACCATAAGGGTCCACGTACCCAAGAATCATATACTTACCCAAAACCTGTACTACAGTTACTATTACCCCAATCCCATGTACCTAATTATTGGGTACATGAACCCTTAGGGTAATACATTCTATGCATTTGAGCAAACCCTAAAACCCTAAAACCCTAAATAAATAAACCCCGTAGACCTTGCCACGCCAAAGGCGTGAAGATGGCGATGCCCAGGATAGCCACCACCATGCTGGCGTTGCACCTCGGCCCAAGGGTCTTTTTGGGCTTTGAGGTTTAGGGTTTAGTGTTTAAGGTTTAGTGTTTAAGGTTTAGGGCTGTAAGGTTTAGGTGTTTAAGGTTTAGGTTTTGGGGTTGTCTTAATGTCATTTAAAGCAGAAGTGGATTGCTGTCAGGGAGTTGAAACTTAAGGTAGCGTTATAAGTTATAAGCAGAGCGAATCAGTTATCATACCTCCATACTGTGATAACTTAGCTTAAGCTCCTCAACGGCAGCCCAGTCTTGGGCGCACGGTATAGCTCTGAGTCTGTAGATACTACCTCAATCCCTTGGGCCCTTAAGTCTGTAAGCAGTATAGTCCCACATTTGGAGTCCATTTCTGTGCGTATCAGTTCACTTTCGAAAATTACTCTTTGGTAATTACTTTTTCTCGTGGTTGAGAAGCTTCATAAGACGGACCTAGGGTTTGTGGGGTAGCTGCAACCAGAGATTACCTTTTGAGGACTTCCCACGGACCTATAACCTACGCACCTCAGATAGTGCCATAGGGCCCCTTGAAACCCTAAACCCTAAACCCCTGAACCCTAAATCATAAACCCTAAATCCATGGAACTGCCCCCGGAGCTGTAAGGACGCTAAAGCCTCAAACGGTCCATGAGTCGGCTTTCACTCCTCCGCCTTTCCGGCAAGTCTTCAGGTTTTAGGTCAGCTCCGAGATGTGGGGCTTAAGGTTTGGGTTTAGGGTATAAGGTGTGGGGTTGGGGGATCTAGGGTGTCGGGTTTGAGGTGTTGGGCTTACTTGTATTCCCAATTACCTACACATAGTCGTCATTACCAAGTCAGTGACAGCGGCTTCAACGCATGAAACTGTCGGTACTGGCGGTTGCAGGTAAGTTTTTTTGGGTTTAACGTGTAGGGGTTGGGCATGGCGGTCCATGGTATTGTGATGAGGACCCTAAACCCTAAACCCTAAATCTCCTGTCTACATCTGCAGAGAGCCCTTGAATTAAGTTAGAAATCAGGATCCCTCAGCACCGAAGCCTAGGGTCTAGGGTTTAGTAGTCGTTCTATATGGATAACGAAAAAGAAAATGGGAACCACCATAGTAGAATAGGGTATATACTGGGGTCATAGTTTAGGGTTCGGGGTTTAGGGTGTAACACCTCACGCCCAGACTCAAACCCCCAAATTCCAGCTTCTAAAGCAGACAGCACTATCTTCCAAGGGTCTCCCTGACGAGCCTCCGAAACTCGGTCATGCAAATGCTGCCGGGATCTGGAAGCACCAGTTGGCTGGAGGAGTGGGTGGTTAAGGGTTTATAATCTAAGGACTTTAGGAGGGACC